ATGGAGGATATTATTCGAGCCTCAATCATCCCTCATGAGCATAAGAATTTGAATATCACACCCTATACTCGGGGGGAATCGAAGCTCAGACCAAAGGGTACTTACAACTAACAAGCATATGCCCGACCAATTAATTTGAGTACGCGGCATATATATATATATGCAAATGTAATAATCTTAAAACTTTAATTTATTTATTATTAATATATTTTTATTTATATTCTTTTATTTATGCTTGAATTTTACTTTCTTTTGTTAAATTAATATATGTGATATGAAAATTTTGAGTGATATAAATGTAACAAATAAGACTTATACTTTAAATATATAAATACATAGAATTTAGGTGGTTTACATGTAAGTGTCATTTTAAAAAAATGTTAGTAAGTTCATCACCACCTCAAGATTACAAGATATAAATCTTCCTATTTTTAAAATACTAAAATACAATTTAAAATAAGATGATATATAATTAAATAAAATTTAAATAAGATAAAAAATTAAATAAGATGGTATATATGTTAAAATTAAAAATTAGGTGTTAGATATGTAAATACAATGGCAATAGGTGGTATGTACATAAATCTTCCTATTTTCTAATATTATGACTCTATTTTATTCCATCTGGACCACCGCTGTGCATGTGTAGTTTAGGTAAATGCCCCTATTATTGGAGCAAATATTAGGTGCGATGACCACACATTCGCGTGACGGTCCAGACGGGGGTGGCCGCTTTCAGACTATCATCCAGACGAGCGATCAGTCGCACGTAATATTTTCTCCTTTCACGTAAATATAGAGTGCGCGCCTTCCTTTAGTCCAACATTGGAAAACCAAAATTTCTTGGTGCACTTTCTTATTTAAGTGTTATTTATAGTATACATATTTATTTTTTTAAATATTTTATATTAAATGTGCATTTATGTGTATCTTAGAACATCATATTAATTAAATGTGCATTCATATAAATATAGTCAAAGAAAATAGGTAGTTATTTTTTTATATTTATTTGAATTAAATTTTTTTTTTTTTAGCAGAATGGTCCATTAGGAATTCAATAAGCTCTTTAGAGCATTTGAAGTTGGTTACCTAATTAGCCATTTGGAGCTGGGTAGTCTCAATAGGCTTCTTGGAGTTAGGCAGCCACCATAGACTAATTGACAATATAGATGATCTTTGGGTGGTTTTATCTCCCATGAATCATGAAATGGGTATCTTTAGAGGCCTCTAATAAATTGATATTTATTCTTTGTCCAAGAATTCTTAATGGGCTTCTCTAAACACATGCTAGATCACTATAGGAATTGAGCAAATTTGTGTCAGCCAAATCGGACGTAAATCGAAGGCAAATTTTCCAAAAAAATCCTCTGAGGGTTGTATCTGAAGGGGAGGAAGTGTTCTGGCTGTAGCTATACCTTAAGAAGATATTTATCTTACCATACTTTTGTTTCCCGGCTGTCGTTACATCTTCCAGCCGCCGCCGCCCCTTCTCTACCACTGCCAGTCACCTGCCTGCTCTCATCCAATAACCACAACCCCTCTTCCACTGTTGCTAGCCCTATTGCTTCTCTTGGTACTCCTTCCAATGGTTGTCTTCCCCATCGACCACCTTCAACCAGTCCAATCTGCTTTCCAGCACCCTACTCTCCTCCAACCTACTACTAGCCTCATTGTCCAGCACTCCCAACCACCCCTTGCAGCCTTTCAATCCCCCCTACAACAGTTTTCCTTTCTATCAGCCGCACCTTGCCATCATCCAACACCCTTCATCACTCTTACCTGCAGCTTTCCCAACCGCCCCACTCTTCCAAAAACCGTAACCAGCCACCAACCATCCTTTCAACCTATCTGACAACCCTCCACCCTTCACCTTCTCCCTTGCCACTTCGCCGATGCCACCACCGCCCCCGGATCTTTTCTTCCGGTCCGAACTGGAGAATCAATTTGCTGTTACAGTTCCCCCTATTTCAATATTAATAAACGTTGATTTTATATCCGTTGATTCTCTAACCAATTCCAATATCCGTGCCTATAAAGAAATTAATGATAAAACATTGATAGTACCATAATAAGTCGAACAATGAATTTTTTATTATGTCATCACTATGAGCAAAGGGTTTAGAGAAGCATGAAAAACTTCAGAGAGAGAGAATTTTACCAGTATAGAGTCACCAGACTCCTTTAAGACATCATCCATACCAAGCTGCACCAGATTATAGAGTGCCAAAAAATTTTTCACATAAATTTCCACAAGCAAATCTATTTATTTCTTGAATAATGAAATCAAGGTTACATGATATTGATCTTTGTAAAGTTCAGTCAAATATTTATTTGGAAAAATGTTTGGAGTCAATTAAGAAGAGACTCATGAGTTTATGGCACATCTAAACTATAAAAGAAAGCAAATAAATTAGAATAAGTAAAATAAGCAACTAGGTTGAACTAGGCTAAAATGGAAGAATAGAGCTTTCACTTGCAAGCAATCTTCTATTAACTCTTCTAACGTTACCAAAAACATGAAGTTTGAGTCTGAGGAAAGATCCAACCAAGCAAATAAGAAAGGCCGAGTGCACTTTAAGTGGTCGCCCAAGCTAGCCGCACCTCAAAGTTTGGGTAGGGGTGATAAATCGGGTTCATAGGTCAAAATCAGGTTTGACCCGAAATTTCGTAACCCCAACCCAATTGGGTTAAAAAATCTAACCCGAACATGACCTGCCTTCAGCCTACTTATTCAAACCCAGCCTGTATAATTGTGCCTTAAGGTTTGGTATTGTGTTCGACAATGATAATCCTCCAACTTGTTGTAGTATCTTGGTTTGAGACCTGATCATAGTTTGAGTTAGTGACATATCAATTAGTCCTAGTTGTCAGAGAATAGTAACAAAAGAAAAACTACATTGATCTTCATGAATTATCATTAAAAAAGTGAAAATTTGCATGGAATCTTTCATACATGCTGTATCTCTACATAGGCCCCCTATTTTCATTTGCATTTATATGAATGAAAGAATAGTATGCTGTCACTTTCTAAGTTCTCTCTCCGAACCTAATTTTACATTTATACCCCCAAACCTTCCATATCATATCAAACATACCATTAATTTAACTTATGAAAAGTGAAAGACACATTTTCATGTGTAGGTAAGGAGGCATATATGTGGTAATTAAAATTTAGGTGTTAGATATGTGAATACAAATGAATTAAGTGATATGCATGCAAATCTTCCTTTAAAAAAACTTACTATGCTTTTCAGCCGCAAGAAAATATGTTTACGTGCATTAGTTCACAAAGCGCAAGCATCCATTCCATCAGCACTTTCAAGCAGACATCCGCTGCGATCATTCAAATCACCGTGCTATGAAGAAACTAATTAGATTTTGAAGAAGAAGAAGCTTCTTCGTTCGGCATACTCGCAGATGCCGCATTCGAGCTAGTATGTGCAGCATTGCACTCTTTCCTGATTTTTCCTCCACCACTCTTCTGCTTCCCCCTCGGTAAATCTTCGCTTGCTGCACATAGAGTTAGAGATCCATGTAAGCCAAACTAAACAGTAACAGCAACATAGAATGACAAATTTCATATATAATTGTGTAGCGAGATACCTAAATTTGATTCTTTTAAAGACTAAAGTGCCATTTGGCAGCTGCAAACCATTCACATATACACCAGGTTCAAATTGCTCCAACAGTTGTACTTCTCCCCTGCTGTTAACCTTCCTTGTAGAAGTTCGAGGCGAGCTCGAGCTACTCTCAATGCCTTGGCTACTGGCAGCCTCTCCGATAGGATGAATATCAGATTTGATATTATTGGGAGCATTGCCTTCGGTAGAGTGTAATTCATCTATCTGATTTTCTGGATTACTAGATGTGGCAATTGAAGCCAGATTTGAAGCTTGAGTTTCGCTATTTTTTAGAAATGATTCTGCTGAATTAATCATTGATTTTAGGTTGCCATTTAGATCATCAGGGAGTTTCTCTGCCATATCCTTCATCTGCAGATAAAGAGAAGAGGGATAAGTAAACCCTGCCTTAGATTTCTGTGTTTTTATATGTAAAATGGGAAATTTTATATTAGAGAACTTTTTTAACAAAATTGGGCAAAGCTATCTTGTCCTAATCATCATTAAAAAATAAAAATAAAAATAAAAAAAAGATTGTTAAATGAATTTATTCAGTCATCTGACTAAATTGAAACAAGTTTGCAATGTTTCATCAAGAAGCTACATAAATCTGGAAAGAAAAAAATGAGGTAGATCATCAATGTTAACATTTTCCAGGATTTTTTGGAGCGTTTAAAGTTGATTTACAAGCTCATGAAAAATTCCCAGATTTTCTACAAAATAACCGAGAGTTCTTAGAAGAAATGAGCTCCAAAAACAATCAATGAAGGCGCAAAATAAGCCAAGGGTGATTCAAATTTTATTGCTACAAAGAAAGCGCGAATAGTGAATTCCAACAACAAAACAACTAAATATAATCCACATTCAGCAACGGATCATGCAGAAGACTAAATTAAGAAATTCAAAGAATTTTTTAATATTTGTCTTGTTTTAAGGATATTTTCCTACTCTTTCTTTCTTTTCTTCTTCTTCTTCCCTTTTTTTTTTGGTAATATGTTCAAATTTCAAGCTTTATTTAGATACTTTTGAGTTAGTTATGTGAATTTGATGCTTTCTAGACAACTTGATGAAATCTCTAAAAATTGAAATTTAGTAATCAGAAAAACAAGATAGGAATTGAATGGAAAGCTTATTTCTTTGTCTCAATCCTAACCATCCTCCTACATTATAAATCAGCAATCCCTCAATGAATCAAATAGCAGAATAACTAAGACCTGTTTTTGTGTTTTTTATCATTTTCTTCTTCCTTTCCATGTAATTTTATGTATAATAGTGTGGACTAGAAGCCCAAAAATGAAATAGAAATAATATTATCTATTTCTCTAAGGTTTAAAAGAAAAAAACTATGCTCGATTTCAAATGTGTTAAAAATTGATGCTAAGAAAAAAACAAATATGATTCAAATGCGTCCTCAAAATAATGATCAAAAGTGCGTTGAAAATATGCAAATGTTAAGCAAATTGACTGCAATTTATCATAGAATCAGAATTTACAAAATCTCATGAAACCGAAGGAGACCTGGGCTTTAATTGTCTTGATAAGGTCAAAGGCAACATTAAACTTTGCAGATTCTTGTGCAGCTACAGAAGCAGCTTCTTTAGCTTCCTTTGAAGCCTTATGTGCGACTGCATCTTGCTGTGCTAGTTTTTGTTCAAGACTTCTGACCTGCAGAAAATCCATGTGGCAACCAATATGAATTATGAAAAGAGACAGCTTTAAGCAGATAGAATATGATAAAAGACTTAGTTTCTGACAATAAATAGGTAATATATATGATGCTTACCTGCTCTTGCAACTTCGACACTTCTCTATCCCAGTGCTCATTAGTCGTCTTCAAAGTCTCCATTAGGCTTCCGGAATAATCAGCATCTGCAGCTAGTGAAGAGTTTGGCTTCCATGAGTATGGAGTTACAAATCTAGCAATTGCAGCAGGTGGCCGAGTAGGCGCTATCGGTGTTAAGATTGGCCTCGAGACACTTTGAAGTAAGCTCAATGAGCTGTGGGGGGAGCCAACATTATTTAGCTGCGAGCCTGATGAGAATTTCAAAGTTCGATTCGAGGTTCGCTTATTCTTACCATATCTACCATCATTGTAACTTCTCAACTCTCTATGAGCAAGTAAAAGCCTTGAATATCTAGCTCCTCCCTTCTCAAACTTCTCCGTGCTATCAACAGCTTGGCGAGAAACCACATGCTTTCTAGAAATGGTCAAAGACCTGCCAGTCTCTGCGGCTTTGAGTTTCGAATAGCATGAATCACATACTCGGTGAGGTTTCTCTGGACTTGGAGCCAACACAGCTTTCAAAACTTTTCTCGAACTACAAGCATGGCAAAATACTAACCCACAGTTATAACAATTATGTCTTTTTCTAGTAAATCCAAATGCTTGCCGGCAGCCGGTGCAGACCGATTGGTCAGCACTAGACACCCATTTATGAATACAAATACATGCTGTCAAATTGGAGCCACAAGAGATACTCTTAACATGCCTGTCTTTTAGTGCTTCAACAAGAACAGGTGTCCTTCTGTCATCGGTATCTCCATGTCCTAGTCTTCCATTAGCTCCTCTTCCCCACGTATAAACTTCGCTTCGTGCCGTCAAAACAACAACGTGATGCGATCCACAAGCGATCTCTTCGGCTAACTCACCCACTAATCTATCTTGCACCAGACACGGAACTTTACCATCAAACTGTGGATTTCCCAGCTCGCCATGCATGGAACTCCCCATAGTGAAAACATGCCCGCAGGTCGAAAGCGCGACGGTGATATTATGCCCGCAAGCCAGCTGACGAAAGTTGTAATCGATAATCGATGCGACGCAAGTAGGAACCAGTTTTGCTTCCTTATCGCCATGACCGAGACGGTATTCCTCTCCATCACCCCACGTAAAGAGTTTTTGCGATACAATGTTTGCGTCAACATGTCCCATTACTTCCACAATCGCCGCCGTATGCCACACCCCACATGCAACCCCGATGGCTCTTAAACCGCTCAAAGATCTGATTTCCCTGGGATACACAACACTCTCTCGGTCACCATGACCCAGAACACCGAATGACCCATCACCAAATGTGTATAATTTTCCATTCGACGCAGCCAATGCAGTGTGCCAAGTGCCACATGCGACGCGAGACACTTGAAGCCCTTCCAGAGGACCAGAAACTCTTTTAGGCAACCAGTGGCAGGCATCACTGCCATGGCCGAGAAGTCCAGTGTTATGAGCTCCATCGCCCCAAGTAAACAAGTCACCTGTAGTAGTTATAGCACAAGTATGATACTCGCCGCACGCAACGGAATCGACGTTGAACAATGCTAATGATTCAACCAAACGAGGTCGACTCCTATCAATATCAGTTCCATGCCCGAGTCTACCACCACATTCTTCACCCCATGTAAATACCTCTCCCTGCCGACTGACAAGGGCGGCATGCCTGAAGCCGCAAGCGATTTGATGAACATTTATAACGAAGTTAGACTCCAGAGGTTTTGGAAGCAAGGCGTCAAAGGATTTGGTGTGACCATCCGGCAAGATCTCGTCGCTCCAAACCTCTCCCCAGACATACACATCACCCAAACTTTCGATATCGTCTGGTCCAGAAGTATGACTCGAGCAACTCGGTGCATTGGAAACACTATGCCGATTACCATCTCCAAAACTCGTTCTTGGATGCATATTTGAATGATCTGAACCCACATATGACCTTCTGAAGCTTAGCCAAGGCTTCACAAAGATGCGAATCACCAAATGCTTTTGTCCTGAGATGAACAGTGCTTGATGAGATCGAAATCCCCATCCTGAAATATAGAACCAAACACAACAGATAAGACTTCATTTGAAGCATTACTAACATGGTTATATGGCTCTAGCAATCTCGATCAAAACCCTAGCAAAAAAAACTTATCAACAAATGATTCAAAAGCAAAATGCTGTCTAAAAGAGGAGAAACTGATCTCACCCTATCGATCCATAGCGGAGAATCTTCCGCGAAGCTGAACGATGGGTGGAGGAAAAGGTCGGATTTTAGCTCTGAAAGAATCTGTAAGAAGCCGGCTTTCAGATCCGCCGCGTTCCCGTTGGCTTCCACCATCGGAGATGGGAGCGACAGAAAATGGAGGCGAGTAAATAATCTGGGAACGAAATACATGCGATTAATGGGTTCGGAGGACCGTTGAAAGGGCCACGCTGTGTTTTTTCGGGTTGGTTTGAACGAAGAAGATAACGGATTTGAGCTTATTTCGCCCCTTCTGCTTCTAATTATGAATATCTCCAATTAATATTTCTAATTTTAGATGACAGCTTTTTTAATTTTTTTTTAATTTTTTTTCAGTTTTAAGGAAAAAAATATTACAGACAAAAATTTTGTCGATATATCACATCTGTTGTCCGGTCGCAGCTCTACGTCCGATATCCGGACGTAATATTTTCTCGAGAAATAACATCGTGAAATTAGCTCCAATAGTTTTAATTGTTGATTGGAATTTTAGATATAAAATAATCAGTTTGTAATGACTCGAGATCAGTTACAAATATTTTTTTATATATAAAAATTAAGTATAATGCTAAATAGAATTGAATATAACGATTTAGAGTTCAAACTAATCCAAATAACTCAATTTTTTATTAAATATTACTAACATTTAAAGCTAGCTCATTTGAAAAACTCAAATTCAAATTTAAAATAAATCATATTTTGAACCATTTTTGTCGTAGAAACGACCTTTGAGATACGTAAATTTGATCTGCCTTCAATTGATCCCTGCGGGCCTATATATGGGAAAGTGAATGTGCCTTTGATGTGCACATACATAGGGGTGTAAACCATCCGAACATGAGCCAGTGTGTTCGTGTTCGGCTCATTTGCTTAACGAGTCGAACACGAGC